ATCATCTCCATCATAAGGCTGATAAAAGAAAGACAGATCCTATGAAAGATCATGTCAAGGACAATTAGAAAACAAGTTCCTAAAAATTTATGCCTTGGGTGAGATTAATTTGTCACAATTACAATATTGACAATACAAAAACCCACATCAGACAGATACCTAAATAAAAGAATCAGCTAGTCAGTGTGCCCTAGAGTACTCATGTCACTTTAGAGTGAATGACTGTACCCTCAAGTGCATTACTTTTAAGTAATCTACATGACTAGCTCATATGTAGATGTCTGCAATGTAAATTTTTAGTTTCATGATATTATTCTCAGCCCATCATCTCACATTGCATTGTACTATAGAACTTTCCATTGAGAGAAGATATACTTATTCCATTTAAGCACACAGAGAGTTAAACTCTCTTTATTCAAGTTAAAAATCTTTTTCAGACCAACAAATGTATAAAACTTAAAAGCTGTAATACAAAGGATGTCCATCACTAAACAGAGGATTAACCATTAAGAAAATAATTATTAGCATGAAGTACCCACTCATCAAAGGTTATCATATCAATATATAACCAGAGCTGTTTTTCAAAAAGCATTAGTGTTTCTAATAGTACAGCCAAAATTTCTGTCCTTACATTATGAATTTCAGGAACTTTCTGCAAAGAAAGGTGTCAGAATGCTTAGTCTTAGAAAGGTGACAAGGTAGTAAGTGAATATCCAAAGCCTTACCCTCTTGCAAATAGTCCAGAATGTCACGAATGAAGTCTGAGACAGAGAGATTATAAGAATCTTTTGTTGAGACGAGAACAGATGTTGAGATGAGAACCTGACAGCTTTTCACCTAACTATTGATTTGTCACTGGACATGGTCCAGTGACAAAAACCATGTGAATGAAGCATGGCAAGACCAGGATGACACAGCAACTCTGAGTCCTGAGACATGAGTTTCCTCATTAACTGGTAAATACGGCCTGGTTATTAAAACAGCACTAGACAGAGGCACCAAAATCATTAGATCACTTCTCACCTGTGTTGAAACTCTTGGAACAGAAAGAACGTGTAAAGGCACTGGCTAGTCTGCCTAGGTATGCTATCAGAAATAGTTTTGGTAGAGACTGTGAACTGCTGTTATAGCAAGTGCAAAAATTTTCGTACTACTTATTGACACCCAAATCAAAATAGAGCTATTTTGATAAACCATGGCTCTGAAAGATGTCTTCTAGGACATTTGTGAAACAAATCAAAGGCACTTGGAGGGCATCAGAATATTGGGAGGAGATCAACTACACAAGTGCAAGTAACAAAATAACTACTCCAGAAGGATTTAGAGGCGCCATTAGGAACAGAAAAAGGATTAAGGAACTAATGTGAAACTATCACATCAGATAATGTTTTATAAGACCATATGGATAGTGTCAAAATCTTCACCTATAATTTCAGAAGAACTCTGTACTAGCAACAAACGAGAATCTGCATTTTGAACACTAGATGTGATTGCTGGCATTTTGAAGGACTGGAAGAAATGCTTTCACAGAATGAACTCCTTACGTAACAGTAATGACAAACATGATGGAAGCACAGGCTATCTCCTATTCTGCAGATAGTAGCTGGAAGCATAAAACTTGCAGAGAGGTGGATGTTAAGGATTACATGTAACGTAGAGCTGATACGTACATATGTGTACGCATACACACATTCACCCAGTACAAACAGGTTTGCGCACAGTTGAGCCGAAAGCTAATTTTGCTAGTTTTAATGGCATGATGTGTTACAGTTGTTCATTTAAGTCCTATCCAACCAGAAATACATCCTAGAGAAGAAAAGCAACTGATGTCCTGATCCATTTAACTTAATTCTGATGATTTATGACTGAATTCAGGTCAATGCCACATTTCTGAATATTTGTTCAATTATAGGGATTTAAAAACCCACAAGCAATTTTACTAAGACTGGAAGACATGAACTAGCAGTTCTTTTACAGTGAAATCTCCAGACAGAAAAATGGGGACAGTTTCACCTCATCCTGCAGAGAACAAAAACAATTGTTTTTATGAAAACCAGGATCACTAATGGGAGAGACACCATCTTGAATCCAAACACACAAATGAAGACATTCAGCTCTTTTCAGTCCACGACAGCTAAATCATTGCTTCCATTTGGCATCAGAAGAGCATTTTATTACAAACTCTTTTCCTCTGAGACAGTTCTGAGGTTCCCAAAGAAAGGCAGCAGAGACCATTTTTTGTGAAATCAGCTGCAAGACTGTTTCAGAGGAACAAGTGCAAAGAGACACGTAAAGGCAGCCTGTAGAATGATGACCTAAGGCGTCTCAAATATCCTGGCAACAAACCCTAGCCCTCAGAATGTCTGTCTGCTGTGATCTGATGAGCAAAAAAAATAGAAAAGCCCTTCAAAGAGACAGCAAATAACAGCAAAAGTAATCCTGGTACTTAGAGAGGAAGGTTCTGACTCAGGAAACCTTACTTAATTTTACCTGCATCTGCTTTAGTTAGCATCAGTGTAGAAAGGTGTCTTTTCTTTCCTACCTCTTCACTGGTTGCATGTAAAGGTCTGTAACTTAGCTTCTCTCTCCAAAGAAAAGGAAAACTAGGATGCAACACAAGTACAATTTAGGAATCTGAATCTCCAAGTGCTGCCCTTCTAAATAGCTTGTACCTGTGACTACCAATTAATGGTGATTTATAAAGTCATGTGAATCTAGTTTTGCTAAAGCACAGGACAGCTACTTGCTCACAAGCTTGAGCACAACAAAAACCATACAGTGGCCCTGGTAAATATGTATATTCATGATTAACCAACAAGGACAAAACAACTTTGGAAATGGGTGATCTCACAGCATGTTTCTTTTTCTATCTGAAAGTCAGCTGTACTGAGAAATTTTACTTTTGGAGAAAAAAAATTGGAATATAAACCAAAAGTATCAGCAAGAGATGAGCAGAATGCAAAGCATTATTTAAATAGCCAAAACTGCATGAAACATTAAGTTGTTTTGAATTTTAATTTTACGTATTTTTCAGAAGACACTCACAACAGAAATGAAGATCTAAAAAAGTTAATATGGAAAGACCACAGACAAAATTTCACACACATGAAATGTTAATTTCATAAGCTGACATCAATAGCAAGTAACTGCTCAGAAGACACAGAAGGGAATTTTAGAGGACAGCTAAATGAGGCAAATAAAAAGCAGTTGCAAGGGCTGTTTCCTGACCCTTTTTGCTATGGAGTGCATCACATCTATCTAGTACCTTACACAGTAAGTGTGGGACTACATAAAATCTACTGCTACAATCTTTATCTCATGCTGTTTTACCTTCCTTTTAATCTGCCCTGTCAACTGAAAATCCATCTAAGATGGTCCAAGTACCCCATGTTACAATCTGCACTTTCAGGATTGAAGCAAGGCGTAAGGAAATGGAGTGCACATGCAGTTAGAGGATATTGCACCAAGGCAAAATCTCTCTTGCCTTGAATTGCTGCAATACAAATATCCACAATATGAACATTCAGACAAAGATTTAGACAAGAATTTATATTGTTTTAATATGCTGAAATGTATTTTTAAAATCTGGGGAAAACACATTTTTTAAAATTAAGATTTTAATATGTTTAAAATGTTCACGTATCTATCACACCATAAAATCTGAATGTCTGTATGAATACCAGGCAAGTAAAGTATGTTACAGCAATTTTTTTAATCTCTGACATTGCTGGTTTTATGAAACACCTATCTTTGAAACAACAACATTCAAGTAACCTGGCTGGTCCCTTAGAAATACAAAATTAATCCTGGAAACAAGGTTATGATGATGACTGAATTATTTTCATCAGAGTGTAATGGTATGTAAGCAAGCAGATGAATTAGCCTATTTCAAGTCAACTAAAACCTACAACACTTTATTTCCCTGCAAGGGATGCAGTAGCACAGACCACACAGTCCCTATGGACTCCTATGCAAATGTACCTGGAGAATATCACCTTGTTATACTCTGCCCAAAATGGTTTTCTATTTAACTGCTCCTTACTGAATACCATGACTATACTATAGCTGCCTTTACGTAAACCTAATTAAAATAAAATTATATAAAAATGCAGATTGTATTAAAACATCTGAAAAATGTGAACAATTACAAACAGGTGACAAGATATATATGGAAATGGTTTGCTATGAAAATCATGGCTGGTGCTCTAACTGGTACCAAAAGACAGTAGCACAGACAAAAAACTGCTAATTTTTGAGTAGTTGTGGTTTTAAACATACTATAAAAACTTAAATAGTAAATAAAAGGTTGTTTCAGTTTGAATTTCGAATCTTCTCTGTGGAGTCTTTTTCACAGTTTATGAGCTCAAATGTTTTGGTTAGCAGCCAAAGCCACTCCCTCCTTTTTTTTCCCCCCCATCAGCAGCCTGCTTAGTCTTCTGTGGAGAGACTGGATACTTCCTCCAGGCCTAACCACACTCAAAATTTCTTGCAGCTCTGAAGTTATACTTTCAATTGCCTTTCATTTTATTGTTGAAGACTTCCTTTAGCACTTCTTCAGTGGGACAATGTAACTGCACAGTACAATAGACTGAGACTGTAGAAGGAGAAACAGACAGTAATGAACTGATGGCATCCCCCTGCACCACTGGCTGCAGCTTAAGGTAGAGAATTCAGGAGTTAAGTTAAGCCCAGGAAGAAGGGTGTGGGGAAGGTGCTTTTAAGGTTTGGGTTTATTTCTCATTATGCTACTCTGATTTGCCTGATAATAAATTAAACCAATTTCCCCAAATCGAGTCAGTTTTGCCCATGACAGGAGCTGGTAAGGGATCTCTCCCTGCCCTTATCTCAGCCCATGAGCCTTTTGTTCTATTTTCTCTTTCCTGTCCAGCTGAGGAGTGATAGAGGAGCTTCAGTGGGTGCCTGTGTCCAGCCAGCATCAGCCCACCTCACAGCTGTGGAGAAAGACCTAACTTTAACTCACACACTTATACAGTAATTACCTTTTGTGCAGCAAGATGGAGAGCAGTCCTTCGGCTGCGATCAGCTCTGTTAACATCAGCTCCAGCCTTCAGCAATGCCTCTGCACAGTCCAGCCTGTCAGCCAGCACACAGTACATAAGGGGAGTTCTTCCAAACTGGTCCTCTTTATCTTTCAGCTCAGAGTTTCCTGAAAAAAAACAAAACAAAGCACCCACTTAAACCAGTAAAGTATATCAGTATCTTGCTAAAAGCAGTACTTTTTAACTAAAAAGTCATCTTATTATAATAGGAACAGTAGGTATCTCATTATAATATGACTGGGCTAAACAAAAAATTGAGTACATGATAAACTCAAAGGCATTACATCTTGTCCTACTTTTAGTGACAGTTATTTCAAAATACATTTGCAGAAAAAAAGTACATTCAGAAAACATTAGTTCCATGAATACACCTCCCACCAGTAATATTCTGCAGTGGCATAACTACAAATAATTTTCAAATAGTTACATGGATCTCGGCTGCACAGATTAGTTTAAAAAATATCAACAGCACAGAAGCCAAACAGACCTCCTGAAACCTGTAAACACTGTAGCTAAAATAAACTTTGAAGCCTACTCACAGTAATGTTTATTTTAAAAGCATAAACATCAATATTACATCAATACCATTATTTACTTCAGGGTGCCTTACAATACGGAAACTACTAAAATACTTCTCAAACTTTATTGAATTGATAAGGTTAGTAAGGCAGTAATCTCAGACCCTATTAAAAAAAAAAAGTCAAAACTCTATTCTTATTCACAGTCCAAAAAACCCTCCAAAGAAAGCAGTTTCACTACAAAGTTTTGTATTTCCATGATGTCACCACATAAAGGCAAGCACCTTTAATTTCATGGGTATCAACTACCCCACACATCCAGATTATCCAGATCTCCAACGGAGAAGCATTGTTTACAATTACCCAAGGAACATTGAATTTTACAGGCAAGGTAGGCTTGCTTTTTAATTATTTCTTTGTCTGCATGACTGTTGATGCCTCAAAAGCACTCCAGCAGAGGCATGCTGCTTCTTTACAGAGTCTTTGCTCTCCCCCAGCATATTATACTTATCTACATATCCAGTAATTTTATTCTTAATTATAATTTCTATTGATTCACCCAAAAGAAGAATCAAGGAGATTAAATATGAATCAAGGGGAATATCAAGAATTAAAATTCATTCCCTACCAATCAAGCCACTTACAAAAAACACTGTCAAGTAGGATATTGCCAGTTAGAGAAATCATTCACTCACTCAGTACATTTTTTAGTTCCTTTAAAACTATAGAGTACCATGTCAATCACATGATTCACTCTATAACACTTTTTTTTTTTTTGCCTTGAAAGTGTGATTTGCATTGAGAAAAGTCTTTTTGCTCTGCAAAAGAAGTTTAAGAACATTTTCAAACTCCTCTGGGATGCAGATATAGAAAAGCTTTTTTTATTCTTCACCTGTGGCCTTGTCTTCTCTGACTGTCACTTCACCTTGACAACCCACCGGTTTTATGACTAATCTTGATGTCACTAGTTTACTAAAAACCAAAACAACAAACCCCAAAAAATCCCACAAGAAGTCTTCTACTGGCCTACATCTAGCTTTCTCAGGAACAGGATGATTTCTGAACACCTTTCTGCATTTTAATACTCACCTTCACACTGCTGTTTAGCCTACTCCTCTGCATACACTGTGATCCCAAGCATCATTTAACATGTCACTGTTTCCAATCACTGTTCCAACTCATTAGAGAACCAGATTCTCTAATTAACTATGTACATTCAGGTGCTCTTCCAGTATCAGTTCAACATGGTCACTTAGACATCACTAAACCACATTTCACTGCTGAGTTTTAACATAACCTCAACAGTGCCTTAAATTGCTTGAAGCTGATGGGACTTGAACAAATATATTACGACAAATACATAAACATTCATTTCTCCCAATAAGACACAAGCACATGGGCTTATGCTGAGATAACATTGGTTCTTAAATCAGCAGTGTCTTTTTTTTTCAAATTCCAGTTTCCCTTCTGTTACAGAAGGTTGGAGGATATATATATATATATATATATATATATATATATATATAAATAAAGATTTAGAGACTAATGACAAGCAAAAACAGCCTAAAGCTCAAATGCAACATAACTAAGTAGAGGAACAGATATCTATGTTCATTTTCAGTTCCCAAAAAGTGATGTAGCTGATGACAAGGAGTTTCCATGACTGCATACAGTCTGAGGGAAAAATGAGCAAGAGCTTCAAAACTTGATGCCAGTAATTTGCCTAATGCTCCTGCACTGCTTTTGAAGGTAAAGAAACTATCTTCAGCTAGCAGTAGGTTTTCTCCTGTTGTTTACCAGAGCTCTGTAAGGCCCTTAGAATGGTTAAAATCCTGTGAGCAGTTCCCAAAAAGGGTGTCTGCAGTCAGGCTAGGAGACAGGACAAGGGCTAGGAGCTACTATATCACCATCAGGTGCTAAGCGGAGATTAAGCTGATGAAAGTCACTAGCCACAACACCTTGTGAACTTCACAGCTGCAGCAAATTACCACTTTCTGCAATCAAGAAAGCACAGGTAGCCTTCAAAACATTCTCATTTAAGTACATAGCGTACCTAAAATGTGCTTTGGCAAAAATAAATTCTCTTCATCTACCTGCCTAATAAAGAAATTTTTTAGATCCCTTCACTTTTAAAATAAAAGTCCTCAGCCCACCAGAATATGCATTCCATAAGCTTATTGCCAACAGAGGCCATGATCACAACAGAATCCAGGGCCCAAGTCCAAAATGCAGCTCTCATAGCTGTACTTCATCACTTCCTCACACTCTATGCAAGCAGTCATATCAGACTCTTAACAATGCTAGGCATTTTTAAAACCAGAAAAGGAGAAAGGGAGAATTCACACCCTCCTGCTGCCCTAATTATTAAAAGACAGACCATTCATTTCTTGTCACTTGCAAGAACCTTGCCTGTTGCAATATCTGAGATTTATTCTACCTCCCACAATGTAGAACGGGCAAAAGAAAAGTAGAGAGGAGGATCAAACAATAGCACACAACTGCATATTTGTAACCCATAGTTTAGTTAGAATTTACAATGAAACATCACATCAGAGATTTAGAAGCATCTGGATGCAAGCAATGCATGATAAGGGTTTTAGAATGAGGAGCTGGACTAAACAGACACTTCAGTCTAATGACTATTGTAATCATTATTATGTTCTTATAAACAGTTAAAACAATTAGATGCCTCTTCCCAAAGTATAAAATGGAAAATGATCCTCCAAATACAAAATTAACTTTTGTTCACTTTTTCCCTAGGATCAAAATAATACAGATGGATTTTAACACTGAAGAACTGTTAACTAAAGACATGTTCAGTGTTGTGTAAAACATAGGAAAAAAATATTTTGAGAATTCCCCAAAGCCCAAGAACATACAATTGTAAAACAACAGGATACAGTACAGGACAACTCATGCAATGCAAACAATTAGCACATTTCTGTTAGAACACTGGTTATACAGTTAACACTTGGCATGTACTTTGTGGTATTTAACCCACATGCATTTTAGAAACTCCTGCATTTAAGCATTAGCAGCAGTTAACACACAGAGATACTTTGTTCCAAAGCCCCCTTTCTCTAAATAAATTTTCTACCTACCTTTGATTCCTTAAGTGCCTCTTTCTGGCACAGGGTGTCAAAAGGAACACATTAAACAGAACACACTGTATTATTTCAAACACCTGTTCCTTTAAAATTCATCCATACTCTAATTATATGCAAATAAAGCATCTATGTTTGTATACAGCCACACACACCCCACCAACCTAGAGATGGCAGAAGGAAAAATCACCAAAGAGGTTTGAGGGGCTGCTCCAACAGACTGTTTGACCAGCCTCCATGCCCCTCCTATGTTAATAGCTGAACAGGGAAAGCATGAAGAGGAAAGTAATAATGAATTTAGGGGCTAAAATGTCCTCCTTGAAAGGAAGAGAAAGTCAGGACTTTCCATTGATGCATGCTCCACTAGCTACATATTCAAGATGCAGAGCTTGGCTGTATTAGAAAAGTGTTGTTCAGCAATCCAGCTCACAGAACGCTGGAGTGCTGTCCTGAATTAGCTGCTGCTGCTGTGTGCAGTCATGAAACTCAGTGAAAAGCACCAATTGCTCAACTTGCTTCTGGCATCAAATTATACTTTAAAGAGTGACTGGTAAACAGCTAAAAATATTACTCTAATGCATTCTTCTTCTGCTAGGCAATACATGAAGTCTTGGATTGTTTTGGTTTTTTTTTTTCTTTTTGGTCCAGTTCTAGAAAAAGTAAGGTCTGTGTCATATCCTGTCAAAACACGGCAAAGCAGAAAAGCCAAATTTTGCTAGTACAGCAAATGCTACAAGGATTGTGCAGTTTTCTCTCCCATGCAAATGTAAAACAGCATTTTTATCTTGTTGCTGCATGATCATCGTTGAAAGAAGTGCAAACTCCTTATCTGGTTCTAATGACTGTTCTGTGGTATATTTGACAAGGTGTACCAGCAACAAGAAATAATATTTCCTTCCTGTTTCCAAAAATATCTTTTGGCGCTGAGATTAACGAAAACACACTAAAGTCAGCAAAAACTCTTTGTTGCTTCTTTAGAATTTGAAAGCCCACATTTTTTCACCTCCAAATGCAAGCAGAAGGGTTTTTTAGAAACTCGGGTATTTAAAGCTACTTTGTAGTTGAATCTCACAGATTTCTAGAAGCATCTCCATATCATCTGCTGTTTATAAAATGTTTTTAAAAAGAGCAAACAGATAGCATTGAATGCAAACAGTATCTGTTTCAACCATAATATAACAAACTAAAGTAGAAGGCCCAACAAAAAATAACTGTTTCAACAAGTGCAGCTTCTATAAAGTCAGGTTCCTCAAATGTGTTCCTGTTGGAGTCAAATCAGTTCTAGTTATGTTTTGAGAAAATTAGATACACCTTGTAAAGAAGAGCCCCTTACTACTTTCTGTACAGCTTGGACAATACATCCACACAGGTCTCCACCTTGCCTTCAACACAGGTCAGCAGAAGATACATAAAGAAACTTGACTGCTGGTTTCATGCTGTTAACATTAAATCCTTCACACACATTAAAAGTGAGAATAAGTGGCATAAATACAGACTGTGCTTCTTACTATTTCACAGTTCTTCAACCCTTGCTAAAGGAATAAGATTTTCAAAAAAAACACTGAGCAAATAGAGCTTCTTCAGTATCACCTGGAATTGCATTTAGTCAGAAGCTCTGAAAAATCCAAGTCTTCACCTATCATATGGCAACCTTCCAAATATATGCAAGACTGTTTCTGGAACATAGAACATATACTGCTTTTAAAAACTATTGACCTGGAATGCCATACTATTCCTGGAGGGCAACAGAAGGCAAAATCCTGAACTTTTTAATGGATGTGAATTTTTTTTTTCTTCAGATTCAGTAGGACTAGACTCTCTCATTACCTTTAATTTCTTTGAGAAACATTACCAGTCTATCAAAGTAACATATAAGGCTGGGCTCATTTTGTTAACACATACTACACAGTGACAAGACTTTAGAAACAATAATAAATTATCTGTAAACACATTTATCAAATTTCCCAAAAAGCCGTTAAAAAATTAAGCATTTGCAGCTAAAGTATTTTGGCACTAAGCACTTCTCCAGAACTTCAAATTCCCTGAAAGGAGTTCTATCACTTACCAATTTTCTGTTTTATGTGACAAAGACGTACCAATCAAAGGCAACAGGTAATAAAAAGTAAGAAAAATCATTAATATTTTCAGGGCAACATTTATTCTAGAAGCACATATAATCAAGACATCAGAAGTATCTTAAAGATCAGAGGTGTAAGTCGAAACCAAAAAGCTTCAGTTCTGAAGTAATCCAAATGCATCTACAGTGAAAACATTTACCTGCTATTAGCTTTTGGAGGGTACTCTTATCTCCATTAACAGCAGCAGCATGCACTTCAGACGCTAACGAGGAACCACTGAAGAGGCAGTTTGCTGAAATATTCATACTCTTTCAAGGTATTACTGTGGGTCAGATCTGTGCCACCAACATTTTTTGTAGAAAATCAGTTCTAGAAAAAAAACCCAAACCACATTAATAGTGTAGAATTATTTTCATAATGAGTCATTAACATTATTCAAATAATGCTAAAGAGAATAAACTTCTGTTAAAAACAGAAAAGAAAAAACACAGGTTTTATCTGTGTATTAAATCTACCTCTAGCCAAAATTCACCAGAAAAAAAGCCTGCATTAAGAAATATATACCTATATATTGTAGTTTCATTGCCTTAAATACAAATTTTAGTCCATAAGCTTTGCGAAAGTCTATAAAGTCTTTCTGTGCAAATCAAACAGACTGTTCTTCAGAGTGTTGCCAAGCATGCTTTAATTCCAACTTTAACCAATAAAGTTTGTTATCAAGTATCAGCTTATTATAGTCCTGCATATAGAATCACAGAATCCTGAACTGAAATGGACACACTGGGACCACTGAAGTCCAGCTCCTGGCCCCGCACTGAATATGCTCAAGAGTCACCCCACATGCCCCAGAGCACTGTCCAAACACTTCTTGAGCCCCGTCAGGCTGGTGCTGTGACTACTTACATGGGGAGCCTGTTCCAGTGCCCAAGCACCCTCTGAGTGAAGAATCCTTTCCTAATATCCAACCTAAACCTCCCCTGACACAATTCCACGGCATTCCCTCAGGTACTGCCACTGGTGACCACCGAGAAGAGATCAGTGTCTGCCCTTCATCCTCCCCTCCCAAGGAAGTTGTGACTGCAATGATGTCTCCCCTCAGTCTCCTCTTCCCTTGTTGAACTCTCTCTACAGAGCCTCTTAGCCCTCCAGAGAGATAACAGCTCCTCCCAATTTTGTATAATTTGCAAACTTGTTTAGTATCCCTTCCAGTTGCACATCCAAGTCAATAATGAAGAAATTGAAAATCACAGGGCCAAGGATGGAGCCCTGCAGAGCCCTACTAGTGACAGGTCCCCAGTCTGATGTTACCTGATTCACTGTGACCCTTTGTGCCCAACCTGTGAGCCAGTTTCTCACCCATCTCATGATGTGTTTATCCAGTTGTGTATTGGGAAGACTTTCTTGATGAAGATCCTCATTAACAACAAAATGAGACATTTAGTCAATAAAAAATCAAGAAAGAAGTAAAAGGTCTGCTTATAAATAGCTACATAATTGGCAATATCTGTAATATGCATCATATTACTGGAATCAAGTAAATAATTCACTTTTCTTCTTTAAGCTAAGATGTAGAAAAATATTAGCCTTCTCAAGTCACTTAAAATGAAGGGGCACTCACATGGACACCAAGGCCTCTTCAAGGTGTGTGAAATTTCATACCAAACTACAATATGACTACTTCGCATTACGCAGATAGCAAGAATTACATCATATTTCCACTCAGCAAAACATGAGGCTGCTAAAATTTAAACATGATAGCACAGTCATGCTATCAAATTTTATTGATATTTTCCCCTTCCCGGAACTACGCTTCCCGGCGTGCCCCGGGAGCGCGCGGCGGAGCGCGGGCCCCGCGGTGGAACTTGCCCGGGTGTTTCCTGGCGACGGGGGGAAGTGGAGGAGCCGCCGCCGCCGCCGCCGCGGAGAGTGGGAGCCGCGCTTCTCCCCTCCCCGCTCCCGGGCGCCCGATCTACCATGAGACCCGCCATCTTCCCGCTCCTGCCTGACCCTGGCTGCCTCCTGCTCCTCCTGGTAAAAGCCGCCTGCTCCCCGCTGCCCTTCCCTTCCCCGCGCCGGCTCGGGCAGGGCGGCGCTGGGGTGGCCGGCGGGCCCCGCTCGGGGTTCCTCTCTCGCTCCCCTCCCCCGCCCAGCAGGTGCCGGCGGCCGGGAAGGAGGGAGGCCGGGAGGGCGGGAGCGGCCCCGGCGGCGGGGCCCGGCGGTGTGGCCGAGGCCGATAGGCTGCGCGCACGGGGTGGGGCCGCGCCGGGGCCCGGGCCCGGGGCAGCGGCCGGGCGGGCGGTGCGGCCTGGCCCCGGCTCCTCGGGTCCCCTGTCCCCCCGTAACGGGGGGACTCTGCAGCCCCCTGAAAGGAGGCTGTGGCCAGGTGGAGGGCGGCCTCTTCTGCCAGGCAGGCAGCGCCAGGGCGGGAGGACATGGTCCTGAGCTGCGCCAGGGGAGGGGTAGGTGGGACGTGAGGAGGAATCTCTCCACAGCAAGGGTGATTAGACGCTGGAATGGGCTGCCCGCGGAGGTGGTGGAGTCACCGTCCCTGGAGATGTGCAGGAAATGACTGGATGTGGCACTTAGTGCCGTGTTCTAGTTGACACGGTGGTGTTGGGTCATAGGTTGAACTCGATTATCTCAGAGGCCCTTTCCAGCCTCATTGATTCTGTGATCTTTAGTTGACAGACTACAGCTTTTTTTTTTAGTTTTTTTTTTAGGCTGGCATTACATGCATGACCTAAGCCACCTTCCGGCTTTGCCAGTACACAAATGCAATCACTGATGTGTGTGTTTTGTGGAGATAACTTCCCTGCACTATAGTTATTTTTTTCTTTTTTTTTTTTTCTTTTTTTTTTTTTTTAAAGAGGAACCAGGCTGGAGTGGTGATTCTTACTTTTCCAGAGATGTATTGTGTCAGACTCTGGACCTTTCATAACATAAGTGACTTGCACACAAGTCACTAAGTCCCCCTAACTAAGGGGGACTTGAGTGAATAAATTTTAGTAGGATTTTTCTCTTAAGATACTAAGGATTTTAGTCAATCTATTTTCAACACTGGGAGAATAAAATGGGCCAGAAAAATTAAAGAATAATTGGAGGTAATGGTAGATAGAACTCTAGAAGTCCAAGGAGGAGTACAGAGTAATATATCTGCTAATGAATGGATGAACGGGTGAGGAATATGAGGACACTTCTGTAATGAACAGTACAAGTATTCATTATCCCTTTGAAATGTGCACTTCTACCTGGGTAAGCTCTGGTTAAAGTATTATGAACTTGCTGTCATTTCAGGGTTCGAAAACACATGTGATTGGTAGGGTTTGAGAAAACACATTTGAAAACGTTTATATATAGATAGCAATAGCATGCTAAAACACTATATGAGAGACTGGAGTTAGGAACCTCATACTTTTCAGTCATCTCTGTATTAAAACAATATTGCTTATGTGCTAGATTGGTTTTCAGTATTGTTTTACATACAGACTAATGAGCAAAGCCAAGGAGCATGTACTGTTTAAAGACACCATGGAATGTGTCCATTAAATAGACAACTACAAATTTGAAAAAGTGGGCCCAAGTTAGTTTTGCTTTCTTCGTGGCACAATTGATCAATACAAGTTAAATATGCATCAATAAGGATTATGTTTGCCAACAAAAAAGAAAACTAGCAGGAAATAGCTGCAACTATTGATCTGCAACTTTTCTGTATTTTGTCTGCTGTTTCATTGCGTATGGATCATTTAAACCTGTTTCTAATGTGGTTTAAAAGAACTGAATACATAAAACTTTTAAGAAGAATACAGTTCAGAGGTTTGGGGTTTTTTTTAAATACAATTAAGTATAATGTTATCTGTGTAATTATTCAGTATCATTTTATCAGCCATGGTCCTGTGTTGTAAGATGCCTAGTTACATGAATCAAGCCAATGAATCATTCCTTTTAGTGGATTTGTTAAGGGTTTTGGAAAAGTTGTTCCAAGCAGTTTGGGTATGTGAGGGGGATCCTCTTTCTTTAGAGGGGCTGAAAAAACTTCGTAAAAGTGTGTTGTTTGTTTTCTTGTGATGCCCAGTGTCCCTGATGAGATGTATCAGATAAACTTTAAAGTACTGGTAACTTTGTTTTTCTTGCTACCAACTGCCTTGAATATTTAAGACCAGCAATGCAGCTTGGCCTTCTGCTCCACATCTAACGGGTGTGCCACCTAACAGAGGCTCTTGGAGCATGGCATATTTTGTGGATAAGTGAATTTGTTAGTGTTACATCAGGGGTTTGTAAGACAATGATATGTAGCTGTGAAAACAGCTTACTAAGGTGGTCTTGCTCAGTAGTAGCAATGAAGTTATCAGGAATTCTTTTCCAGACTTTTGGATAAGCACATTTATTTTCCAGATGGGAATTTAATATGCTGCCAAAAGAAGAAAATATACAATGTCAAATCAAAAGAAATTCTCTTGTCTAAAGTTTGACAGTAGGAGATCACTACAGTTGAAGAGGGCTTTGTGTCTTGTGCTAATATTCTTCTTCCCTGGTCTCACCAAAGTTTGGGTTGGCATGAGGGAGATTGCAGTGCAAAGGGATACCTGCAGTCCCAGCACAACTCTTTGCCCTTCCAGCTTTTCAGCATTGTACTGGGCTGCTGGGAGTTGAAAGGAAACTGGAGAAAGGACAGGGGAAGTACGCTGGCAATGACCCCTGTCTCAAGAGCTGAGTGGAGGGGTGAGCAGTGGACAGCACAGACTGCAGAGGGTCTTGTACAGCTGTTTGCAAGACCGGAATAAGAGATGCATAGAAATGTCATGGGGGCCCTTGGAGAGTGAGATGTTTCTGCCCTGTTGGTATGTTGCTTAATACTGGGCAGGACAGGTCTTTAAGATGACTCCAAGACAGCTGGATGATGGGAGAGTAGCTCATCACATTCTCCCCTAAGGCAAGGTGTGGCTCTTTGGCTTTGCTCTATCCAATCATTCTGGATGTTTTTGCCTGTAGTTGCAGTTAGGTATACTTTGCCTGTAAAGAAAATTCTAGAACAAGACACTGTTGCACATGCTTCTTCTGCATGTGTTTGAGAGGCATTTGTATTGCTCAGTGCTTCCCTGGGAGGCTCATGCACGGTGCCCCTGAGCAAAAGCTGTGACTGGAGGAAACCACCAACGGATAGTGAGGGAAATGAAGAGGGAAGTTCCTAACTGGAAAAAATACTGTATGGTAATATTTTTGTTTCTTGTTTTACTGTCACTGCCTTTCATGTCTTGATAATATGATACCAAGTACCCAAATAATGAAAGTAAAATTAAATAAAAATTGTCTTTTAACTTAGTGTTAAATGTGTAGTAGATTGCCCAAGGAGAAGTTGAATTCTGTA